TGGAATTCATAACTCTGATGATTAAAATTAAATCACATATAATCATGATCTCCTGAAATATTTATCTTCTCAATTAACAAATTTATTAAAATAGATAAAATATTTTGCAGGCTAATCTAACCTAAATTCATTGAATATGATACCTCACTTGAATACATTAATTTTACAGGTTAGGAAAAATTGAATCCCGAGAAAAAATGACCCTTATCAAAGGCAAAATTTCTAGTTAATAATGAAGCTTAAAATGATTCTCGGAAACCTTATAAAAACATGTATGAACACGCTTATGTTCTACAAACAGTTATTAGGATCGGAATCAATCTACACGAAAGTAGAATAAATTTATAGGTTTTTACTTCATTAATCATCTTATAATAAGATCTTAATAATTAAATTAATAGCAATGGTAAGATTATATTTCATTAGGTTAAATAGATACAATTATGTATTGTGATTTCCATATAGTTATTGCTTCTAGTTGGGTTTGCAACTTGCACGACCTTTAATTAGTAATATGGCCTATTATGTCTCCATCAGAAATAATTTATATAATATAAGGTGAGAGTTGGATATTATATTTAATGATGCATAAAATAATTTCTATATAAGAAGACATCATATATTTATGGCTAAATTATGAGAAGTTTTATTTTTATCTTTAAATTTTAAAATTATTACAAAAATGCCCTTATGCGGCGGAAATATATATATATATTTTCTATTAAAATAAACGATGACTTCTAAGAATGTTCATAAATTGAGTTAAGTTAGGTTGAAACACTTTTTTGACCTAACTCAATTGTTCGTAATTTTTTGAACTCAAACAATTTTGGTTAAATAATAAATTCAACCCGATCTAAGTCTTAAATATTTCGACTTATCTAGTCATATTTGATATAATAAATGTAATAATAATAAAAAGAAGTTATTGTTTTGGATTTGAATTTTGCATTAAATAAAATCACAAAGTGACTAAAAATTAAAGTCACTTCCATCCCCCACTACCATTAATATGGGCTATACCTAACTCACACATCATAAATATTTTTTTGATAATTTAATTTTTTTTAAAACTATTTAAGATATATTTTTAATATTTTTAAATACTTTTATAAAGACTAAAAAAACAAGCTTTCTATTTATTTAAAAAATAATAAATAGAAAGTAATTTTAAAAAATCCAAGCTATAATTTAGAAAGTAATTTCCTTTTTTTTAAATTGACTAAGTGAAAATTAATGCGAAAAAATAAACATAAATTTTAAAAACAAAAAAATGAAATTAGGTTTAACAAACAAAATTACCTAACATGGAGAAGCTTGAAGATATTATTTAAAAAAAAAAATTTGTTAAATGACAAATTTGCCCCTCAAATGGAAGCTGTATTGAATATGCCTTATTAATTACAAATTTCATGCCGTATTAGTAGAGCTGTATATGTAATAACCAAGTTTCCTTCTTTAAGGCTTGCCTTAAAATACGGGTTGCATCTTATTGACAGCTAAGAGAGGAAGGACAAGAAGGAGATTTTTCTCTTTTATTTTTTCCATTTTTTTTAAAGAAAATTTGTTGCTCCGTTTCATAACTATTTTCCTATTAATTTTATTAATTCAAAGTAAAATAATTAAAAAAAATTATTATAAAAAATTTAAAATTTTTATTTTTAAAGATGAAAATCACAAAAAATTGTAGAAACTAGAATAATTTAAATATATATATATATATATATATATACTATGATCAACTACGTTTTACTTCATTATCATAATTTTATTGATTCGAAATTAATTTTTTAATAGCAATTAAAAATATTAATAAAACAAAGAGTTTTAAATATTACATAAAAACCTAGAAAGCACTAAGTTAATATCTATAAAAGTAAAATCATTATATAAAAGAGGAAAGAAAATAGGAAGTTTAATTGTTAAAAATTATTGATTAAAATTATAACGAATTTACATATTGAAGAAGGCTTCTTCAAGCACAAGAAATACCCATGGAAGTAGCCGCCGTGAATCTCTCGGACGCAGTTCGCCGGACCAAAGAGCCAATTTCCGGCGAGAATCCGGGGAATCCGACCTCCGGATTTGCAGAGAGCGGATCCGCGTCATCGCCATACAGAACGTAATATCCAGCATCGGCTCGTTCCGGATTAGCCTCGACGCTAGGGCTCGAATTCGGCTTGTGCCTGAATACCGATCGAAGAAATTTGTGCAGAGACCTGGAAATCTTGGACGGCCTTTTGGAAGGCGGAAGCGGCGGCGGAGGAGGAAGGCAGCGGCGGCCAGGGAGATGAGGCATGGACAAGGATCTTGAAGCAATAGCGGAATCGAGTTGGCGTTTGAGGGAATTGAGTTCGAAGGAATCGTAAAGGGAGCTTCCGCAGTCCCAGACGAGGGCGGATTGAGAGGATTTTGATTTGTTGAATTTAGGGCTTGCCATTTTTGCCTGTGAGGAAGATGAAGAGAAACGGCGAGGTGGTTTTAATGGCTGATGGAGAAAGAAACGCGTAGAAGGAGAGGTCAGAAAATGGCGTTCCCACTCTGATTGATTGCTTTTTTCATTTATTTCCATGGCCGCCATTGACTTCTTTACCAAGCTTTTCCAATTTATTATTACTTAGCTTAAATTACAATATTACTCTCTTTTTTATTTTTTTATTTTTATCGTGTTAGTTCGAAGATCGACCTTTGAAATGATTATTAATACCTTATTTATGGTGGTATCCCACATCAATTGAGGAGAGAAGAACGACTGCCAGCAAGGACGCCGGACATTGAAGGAGGTAGGAGAGGGGAACGTAGCATTCTTTATAAAATTGTAGAAACGCTGGCCTCGAAGAAGTGTATTATGAGATCCCATATCAGTTGGAGAGAAGAACGAAACATTATTTATAAGGTGTGAAAACCTCTACAAGCAGCCGTTTTAAAAACCTTGGGGGAGGGGGAGGGGGGGGAGAGAGAGAGTTTAAAGAGGATAATATTTGCTAGCGGTGGACTTGAGCCCTTACAATGGTATCAGAGCCAGACACGGGACGATGTGCTCGCAAGTTGTCAACTATTTCCTACCCGATATTTATATGCAGTAACCTGTTGTTGTCGTTGTCTTTTGTTTACATTCCCATATAACACCAATTTCAATTTCTCAACTCCTGCTTTCAAAACTCTCTTTCGAAATTCCTCTACCCTCGTTTTCTAAAACTTTATTCTTGAACCGGGGCAAGAGGCTCGAGCATACGTCGCTTGGCTGTAGGCGATGCAAGAACGAATAGACTTAACTCACTTGTTGCTGAGAAGTGAGTGCCGCACAATCGCAAGTTCGCTATCATCAAAGTACGATCGTGACAAGTGGAGAACGATTGGATGGAGAAGAGATGTGCCTATTCGTTTGGAGAAGGGTCCAACATATGACAAGTTCTCTCGATTGGAGGGTTCCTAGAGTGCTCGACATCAAGAGGTGTGCCAATTGAAGGGTCCCACATGGGGGTCCCACATGGATGGAGAAGAGAACGAGTGACATCATCCATCCCTCTTTATAAGGGCGTAGAAACTTCTACTAATAAACTTGTTTTAAAAATATTGAGAGAAAACCCGTCCATTCTTTAGAGATGAAAGTTAAGAAAAATAAGTAGTAGAAAAATAATTAATTTAATTTGATAAAGTCAAATAAAATGCTAATTTTTTGTGTTCATAATTTGATTTTGCTTCAATAATTTACCATGTTTTGGTTCTTTGACTTTGACCCAATAAATTGGGTTTAAATTTAATTAAGTTTAATTAATTCCGGAAAATCCGATTTAATTTTGTGTAATCTTTTTTTAACGACATTGTTTATTAGCCTCTCTCTATGCATGTGATGCATGCGAAGACGTGCTCTCATCTTCTGTTCTTTTTTAAATAATATAATATGTTTTAAATTATTGAGATAATGTGATCTCGCTTTCCACTTTTGCTTTATTTTAGTATTTAATAAACAAATTTTTTTTATTTTTTTATTTCAATATCAAATTAATAAAGTTATTAATATAAATTAGAGATAAATACGTGGAAATAAATATATAGCAATATTTTCCATTAAATTTTAACGGTGTTTTATCGGTTTGTTCTTTTATGGGAATTTTTATTATACTTCGGTTATTTTGAGCTGATTTTAAATGAAATTAGTGAAAATAGCTACCATTATTTTGGCTCGACGACAATCCGTACAGAAAAGAGCACAAGACTTACCCTAAGATGATTTACAGTCGAAGGGATCCTCCTCTTGTATTAGCCAAGCTTTTCAACGTCGGTTATGACAATTTTGGGCCATGGATTTCGTTTCGGACTCTCGCCCGAAAATTTTGCAGACCTCTCTCCCTCTTTCCTGTTGGATGATGAAAGTCCGACATTGGTTAATTTAAGGAATGATCATGGGTTTATAATCCAGGAATATTCTCTCCATTGATAATGAGACATTTTGGAAAGCTCAAAGCAAAGCCTTGAGCGCTTACACGGAAAGTGGACAATAACATACCATTGTGGAGAGTCGTATTCGTATTCGTCTAACATTTCCTTCCTTGTTTTTTCTTTTTGCACGTGCTTTGAGTGTTGGCTGAAGGAGGGTGAGGACTTCGTTGCTAATGATTTGGACGTATGGTGGAGGCTGGGGAATGTGATTTCACGTGGGCCACAGGAATTTCCAGCGACTGTGTATTTAATTCGTGATCGTTACAATAAAGAAAGAAGTCCCGTCACGCACACCTCTTTGATTATATACAAAAATCCTCTTTTCGACTCTTTGTTTATGTTAAGAATGAGATAGGAAATAGAATTGAGAAGATCTATATTATCATTCATATTTGATATTCTTTAAATAGGATACAAAAAGTACAAATTAAAAAAATATAAAATAATTAAATATTAAAAATAAAATAAAATATACGGTAAATCAAATCATAAATAAAAAATATTATGATATAATAGCTAAGACTAGAAATTATATCTCAATACTTATAAAATCCATGAAGTTCAAACCATTTGCAGTCATATTATTACCTTAAATTCGACGAAAGACAACATTAATCAAACCACATGACTACTAAAAAGTTTAAACTTCTTGGCATCCAAAACCAAGTTCCTAATAGAAGCAAAGCATCCCAAAAGTCCTACACCAGAGAATGCAACAACAATGAACACATTGACCCAATAAGTTATCGACGTTACCGGAGGCTTATGAGTGATGTTGTAGAGAACCATCGGAAGAACGAAGTCGAGCGGGATGTGTTGGCTTTTTGGCCTTGATCTCATTTTAATTAATTTCAATCAATTAATTGATGTTTTGATGATAACAAACCTACTTTTTAATTATTAATTATTTTCAGTATTTTGAACTGTCCAACAGTATAAGGTCGGGAATAACAATTTCAACGACTTTTCAATTACTCAAATCAGAGCTAAAACGAAGAAATTACAGTCGAGACAACATACCCGACGTGATGATGTGGCAGCAAAATCAAAATGATGGACAAATCAAGATATATCAAAGTATGACATTTATGATTTTTGGAGAGTAACAAATGGTGGAGTTTTTCTTATTACTATATTTTTAAATAAAGTTATTTTTACAAAATATAAATTTGAATCTAACCGTTACTCACATCGATTTTTATTATTACTATATTATATTATTATATTATTATATTTTAAAATTTTGGTGGTTACTCACATAGTTTTTATTATTATTATATTATTATATTTATAATAAATTTTGAATTTCATTTGACCGTTACTCACATAACTTTTTATTATTATTATATTATATTACTATTATATTAAAATTTTGAAATAAATGAATTTAGAAAATTTTCTTATTTATTTACTTTTAATCTCCACCTTCCATTATTCCTAACACAATCCAATGGTCAATATTCAATCCTACATTTTGCCACTTTTCTCCTCTATATAAACTCATCTTCCCCACATTTTAAAATACACAACTTACATACATCTCCAATCCTCATTTGTTCAAAGTCTCCATTGTTTGTTGCTCTCTCCAAGCTTACAAGTTTATTTCTTTTCATCTTATTCTTGAGAGGGATTATTTTTGTATTGTGAGGAAATAGTTGTGAGTATCCCAAATTGTAAATCTACTCTTTGAGAGAGTTGTGGTGTGTTATTATCAAACTCAAATACTTGTATCGGTTTGATCCTGCGCCGTGGAAAGGATTGAGTTTGCTCTTGAACTCGTAAAAAGAGCGGTGTAGCGGTTTGACTCAGATCCGTGGAAAGAGTCGAGAAAGTTCTTTATTCAAATTCCCAAGAGGCGCTTGGGGAGTGGAGTAGGTCGAGTTTGACCGAACCACTATAAAACTACGGTGTCATTTTCTCTAACTCTTTTCTACTTAATTTCAAAATTATTATTGTGATTTATTGCATGTTCTACTTGATTATTGTTTTGACTTGAATTACTTTGTTATAGTAATTATCATCTTCTACTTATTTGCAAAAAGTTTCATCATTAGAAAAATTAATCACGTTTAAACACTTTTATCGTTAAAACCCTATTCACCCCCCCTCTAGGGTTGCCATACCGATCCAACAATTGGTATCAGAGCAGGTTGCTCCTATAGATTTTTTATCTAAACTTTATTGTTCGAGCTTATGGCAAACCTACGTGTTAAAAATGGTTTTAGTGAAGGACAATCAACTTCTAGGCCACCTTATTTTGATGGAACAAATTATACATGTTGGAAAGCTAGGATGAAAATTTATTTGCAATCCGTTGATTATCAATTGTGGTTAAATGTTAGTAATGGTCCTTACATTCCAATAAAAATTGTTAATAATATTGAGGTGTCTAAATTAGAAAATGAATTTGATGAGCATGATATGAAAAAATGTTCTTTGAATGCTAGTGCTATCAATTGTCTGTATTGTGCCTTAAGTAATGATGAATTTAATAGAGTATGTATGTGTTCTTCGGCATATGAAATTTGGAAAACTCTTGAAGTAACTCATGAGGGAACCAATCAAGTTAAAGAAACAAAAATTAGCATGTTAGTTCATAATTATGAACTATTTAAAATGGAGGAAAATGAACCTATTGGTGATATGTTTACTAGATTTACTAATATTTTAAATGCTTTGAAAAATCTTGGAAAAGTATATTCTACTTCCGAAAATGTAAGAAAAATTCTTAGGTCTCTGCCTAAAAGTTGGGAGGCAAAAGTGACGGCGATTCAAGAAGCAAAGGATCTCACAAAGCTTCCTTTGGATGAACTAGTTGGTTCTCTCATGACACATGAGATTACCATGAACGGGCACATGGAAGAAGAATCCAAAAAGAAGAAAAGTATAGCCCTAAAGTCCATCAAAGTTGACTCTGAAGATGAGGACGTCCTTGATGAAGATGATGTCGCCTACTTCACACGTAAGTATAAAAATTTTATTAAAAGGAAGAAACAATTAAAAAAACATTTCACAAATCAAAAAGAGTCAAAAGGTGAAAAGAGCAAAAACGATGAGGTAATATGTTATGAATGTAAAAAGCCGGGTCATATAAGAACGGATTGTCCTCTCCTCAAATCATCTAAGAAATCCAAGAAGAAAGCAATGAAGGCTACTTGGGATGATAGTGATGAAAGTGCAAGTGGAAGTGATGAAGAAGTAGCAAATTTTTGCTTCATGGCTCATAGTGACAAAGAGGATGAACAAGAAGATGAACAAGAAGATGAGGTAACTCTTGAATCTCTTTCTTATCATGAATTATTTAAACTTGTTGATGAGATGACAATTGATTTAGAAAAACTTAGTTCAAAGTATGTTGTGCTTAAAAAGAAATATAAGACTTCAATTATTGAAAATAAGTCTTTACTAAATGAAATTTCTTGCTTAAAAGAGAAGTATCATAATATTGTTAAAATTGATGTACCTTGTGAAAAGCATGTATTTGATTGTGATGAGAAAAATGCATTACTTGATAAAGTCAAGTCTCTTGAGCATGATTGTTGTGAAAAAGATAAATTAATTAAATTGCTCAAAGAAAATGAATCAAATAATTTGCAAGAACTTGGTAGGGCTAAGGAGTCTATTAAAATGTTAACAATAGGTGCTCAAAAATTAGATAAAATACTTGAAGGAGGTAAGTCATATGGTGATAAAAGAGGATTAGGCTATATTGATGAATGTTCTACACCTTCAAGTTCTAAAACAATATTTGTTAAAGCATCCCCTATCTTGTCTAAATCTAGCAATAAATTTGTATCTAAGTATGATAAATCTAGATTTGTGCCTATATGTCATTATTGTGGTGTTGAAGGTCATATTAGACCTAAGTGCTTTAAATTGAAAAATTCTCAAAACATTCCTTTAGGAAGAAAAGTTTCTCAAAATACAAAATTTAACAATGTTTTAGAAAATAATTTTTCGAATAAAAATAGAATACACAAATTTAGTCCAAGAAATAAATTATTGCATAATGTTGTTTGTTTTTCATGTGGTAAGTTTGGACATAAAGATTATTCTTGTTACTTATCTAAATACAATGTCTTTAATATGAATGCAAATATGAAATGGATTCCTAAATTTGTGAACACTAACTTTCTAGGACCCAAACAAGTATGGGTACCAAAATGTCAATTTTGAATATCCTTGTTTTTAGGTTTGTTTGAAAGCCTCCAAGAAAAATAAGTGGTACTTGGATAGTGGCTGCTCAAGACACATGACGGGTAATCCATCCAAGTTTGTGAATCTTTCCAAGAAGGATGGTGGCTTAGTAACCTTTGGTGATAACAAGAAGGGTAAAATAATTGGTAAGGGTACTATAGGTAATGACTCTTGTACTCTCATTGAAAATGTATTGTTAGTTGATGGTTTAAAGCATGACTTACTTAGCATTAGTCAATTATGTGATAAAGGTTTTAGAGTTGTATTTGATAAGAATAATTGCATAATTGAAAATGCTAGTGATAGAAAAGTTTTGTTTGTAGGAAATAGAGATGATAATGTGTATACTATTGATTTGAATGATTGTCCTACAAATGATAAATGTCTTTCGGTTTTGCTTGATAACTCTTGGCTATGGCATAGAAGACTAGGACATGCTAGTATGTACTTGATTTCAAATATTTCAAAAAATTCATTAGTTAGAGGTCTTCCTCAACTTAAATTTGAAAAAGATAAAATTTGTGACGCTTGTCAAATGGGTAAGCAAACTAAGTCTTCTTTCAAATCTAAAAATATGATTTCTACTATTAGACCTCTTCAACTACTCCATATGGACTTATTTGGCCCTTCTAAAATAGCTAGTTATGGAGGAAATTATTATGCTTTTGTTATAGTGGATGATTTTTCAAGATTTACTTGGGTTTTGATGATAAAACATAAGAATGATGCTTTGAAAAGATTTGCTAGTTTTGTAAAAAGAGTTCAAAATGAAAAAGGATTTTTAATTACTAAAATTAGAAGTGACCATGGAGGAGAATTTAACAGTGTTGCCTTTGAAAAATTTTGTGAAGATAATGGTCTTTCTCATGACTTCTCCTCTCCAAGGACTCCTCAACAAAACGGTGTGGTTGAAAGGAAAAATCGTACTTTACAAGAATTTGCTAGATCAATGTTAAATGAGTATGATTTACCTAAATATTTTTGGGCGGAAGCCGTTAATACCGCTTGTTATATTTTAAATAGAGTTTTAATTAGACCTTCATTAAATAAAACTCCTTATGAACTTTGGCATAACAAAATTCCAAATGTTGGGTATTTCAAAGTTTTTGGTTGTAAATGTTTTATTTTGAACAACAAAGAAAAGCTTGGAAAGTTTGATTCAAAAACGGATATTGGTATTTTTCTTGGCTATTCATCTACTAGTAAAGCTTATAGAATTTTCAATAAGAGAACTCTAATTATTGAAGAATCTATGCATGTGGTATTTGATGAATCTTGCAATAATATTTCTAATGAGTCTATTTGTAGTGATGATTTAGAAAGAAATTTTGGAGACTTACTCGTTAGTGACAACGGCAAGGAAATTGTTACGAGTAAAGAAGAGGTGAGCTTAAAGGAAGAAGGTTCTTCATCAATGCCAAAAGAATGGAGGTATGCCTTGTCTCATCCCAAAGACTTGATTCTTGGTGATCTCGAACAAGGTGTGAAAACTCGCTCTTCTATTAATTTATTTAATAATCTTGCTTTTGTTTCTCAAATTGAACCAAAAAGTCTTAAGGATGCCGAAAATGATGAGTTTTGGATTTTAGCCATGCAAGAAGAGCTAAATCAATTTGAAAGGAACAAAGTTTGGGAATTAGTCCCGAGGCCATCTAATACTTCTATTATTGGAACCAAATGGGTTTTTAGAAATAAAATGGATGAAAATGGGAATATCATGAGAAATAAAGCTAGACTTGTAGCTCAAGGTTATTGTCAAGAGGAAGGCATAGATTATGAAGAAACTTTTGCACCCGTTGCTAGATTAGAAGCTATTAGAATGTTACTTGCTTTTGCTTCTTACAAAAATTTTGTATTATATCAAATGGATGTGAAAAGTGCATTTTTGAATGGTTATATTATGGAGGAAGTTTATGTAGAACAACCTCCCGGATTTGAAAATGTAGAATTTCCTCATCATGTCTATAAGTTGAAAAAGGCTCTTTATGGCTTAAAACAAGCTCCAAGAGCTTGGTATGATAGACTTAGTAATTTTCTTATTGGGAATGATTTTAAAATGGGCAAACTCGACACTACACTCTTTATTAAGATTAAAGAAAACGATATGCTATTGGTGCAAATATATGTGGATGATATCATATTTGGTTCTACTAATCCTTCTTTATGTGAAGAATTTGCTAAATGTATGCATAGTGAGTTTGAGATGAGTATGATGGGAGAACTTAGTTTCTTTCTTGGACTTCAAATCAAACAACTCAAGGATGGTATCTTCATCAATCAAGAGAAATACACTAAAGATTTGCTCAAAAGATTCAAGTTCAATGGAGGTAAGATTGCAAGAACTCCCATGAGCACATCCACTAAGCTTGACAAGGATGAAAAAGGTAAAAGTGTGGATATTAAAACTTATCGAGGTATGATTGGATCTTTACTTTACTTGACCGCTAGTAGACCCGATATTATGTTTAGTGTATGTCTTTGTGCTAGATTTCAATCTTGTCCTAAGGAATCTCATTTACATGCCGTTAAGAGAATATTTAAATATTTGCTTGGAACTATTGATCTAGGATTGTGGTATCCTAGAAATGTTGAATTTAAATTGATAGGATATTCTGATGCGGATTTTGCCGGAAGCTTACTTGATCGTAAAAGTACTAGTGGAACTTGTCAATTTCTTGGTAGTTCCTTAGTTTCTTGGTTTAGTAAAAAGCAAAATTCGGTTGCTTTATCTACTACCGAAGCGGAATATATTGCGGTTGCTAGTTGTTGTGCTCAAATTCTTTGGATGAAACAAACTCTTTGTGATTTTGGATTAAAGTTTCATAGTGTGCCTATATTTTGTGATAATACAAGTGCTATTAATTTAACTAAAAATCCTATTCATCATTCTAGAACTAAACATATTGACATTAGACATCATTTTATTAGAGAGCTTGTGCAAAATGGACATATTATTCTTGATTTTGTAAACTCTAATAATCAACTAGCCGATATTTTCACCAAGCCATTGAATGAAGAAATTTTTTGCAAAAATAGGCTTGAGCTTGGTATTATTCGTTGTGATATATCTTGAATTTTATAAATTTTTGAATGCATGTTTTTAGGGGGAGCCATTACGTCATTCTTAAATGTATTCTCTTTCGATTGTTCTTTTTGATGATTACAAAGGGGGAGAAAATTAAGAAAAATATGCTCTAAGTTTGTTGTTTTATTATTTATGAATCATTTACTTGTTTTATGTTTTCATAATTTCTTGAGGCATTAATATAGGGGAGAATATGCTTGAGTAAAATTTATGATAATATATTAGCATATTAGTATTATTACATGGATGGTGTATTACCTTGGTTTTTATGAATTTTTCTTAAAATGGTTTGTCATCATCAAAAAGGGGGAGATTGTTGGCTTTTTGGCCTTGATCTCATTTTAATTAATTTCAATCAATTAATTGATGTTTTGATGATAACAAACCTACTTTTTAATTATTAACTATTTTCAGTATTTTGAACTGTCCACAGTATAAGGTCGGGAATAACGATTTCAATGACTTTTCAATTACTCAAATCAGAGCTAAAACGAAGAAATTACAGTCGAGACAACATACCCGGCGTGATGATGTGGCAGCAAAATCAAAATGATGGACAAATCAAGATATATCAAAGTATGACATTTATGATTTTTGGAGAGTAACAAATGGTGGAGTTTTTCTTATTACTATATTTTTAAATAAAGTTATTTTTACAAAATATAAATTTGAATCTAACCGTTACTCACATCGATTTTTATTATTACTATATTATATTATTATATTATTATATTTTAAAATTTTGGTGGTTACTCACATAGTTTTTATTATTATTATATTATTATATTTATAATAAATTTTGAATTTCATTTGACCGTTACTCACATAACTTTTTATTATTATTATATTATATTACTATTATATTAAAATTTTGAAATAAATGAATTTAGAAAATTTTCTTATTTATTTACTTTTAATCTCCACCTTCCATTATTCCTAACACAATCCAATGGTCAATATTCAATCCTACATTTTGCCACTTTTCTCCTCTATATAAACTCATCTTCCCCACATTTTAAAATACACAACTTACATACATCTCCAATCCTCATTTGTTCAAAGTCTCCATTGTTTGTTGCTCTCTCCAAGCTTACAAGTTCATTTCTTTTCATCTTATTCTTGAGAGGGATTATTTTTGTATTGTGAGGAAATAGTTGTGAGTATCCCAAATTGTAAATCTACTCTTTGAGAGAGTTGTGGTGTGTTATTATCAAACTCAAATACTTGTATCGGTTTGATCCTGCGCCGTGGAAAGGATTGAGTTTGCTCTTGAACTCGTAAAAAGAGCGGTGTAGCGGTTTGACTCAGATCCGTGGAAAGAGTCGAGAAAGTTCTTTATTCAAATTCCCAAGAGGCGCTTGGGGAGTGGAGTAGGTCGAGTTTGACCGAACCACTATAAAACTACGGTGTCATTTTCTCTAACTCTTTTCTACTTAATTTCAAAATTATTATTGTGATTTATTGCATGTTCTACTTGATTATTGTTTTGACTTGAATTACTTTGTTATAGTAATTATCATCTTCTACTTATTTGCAAAAAGTTTCATCATTAGAAAAATTAATCACGTTTAAACACTTTTATCGTTAAAACCCTATTCACCCCCCCTCTAGGGTTGCCATACCGATCCAACAGGATGAACCCGATAGCTCCAACGATGCTATTAATGTCACCAAAGAATGGAAACATGGCTGCAAAGAATCCACACAATGACATGTACAATGTCCTCAAAATCAGCCTAGGAATCAGGTTTCTTCTTGAGAACACTCCTTGTTTTGCATCAGCTGATCGTTTCTCCATGATCTCATAAGCCACTTGGGCATAAACCTGTACGAGATCAACAGAAAACTAAAAACAAAATCGTTATCGAGTAAAGCTTTGATGGGTGGTGCATGATTCGAACCATTCCGATGGCGAGAAGCTGGAGGAGAATGAAGAGGACGGCGAAGAGGAGAATCCAAGTCGGAGCCAAAGGAGATTGATTTTTAGGCAATAAGTTCTTCAAGATATTTGAATTGGATTCATTGCCAAAAACCCAATACCCAGAAGCTGCTGATGAGTAGAATGTGATGAATATCACAATGTAACACATGATGAGCCCTTTCACCATCTTCCCACCCACCGGTGGTGCAAGAGTGGCCTGGATGATCACTCAATTAATAAAAATATCTCTAAATTTAAAATAACATTAGTTTTGAACCAATCGATTAATACTTTGTTTAAAAAATATTATTTCTGAGTAATTAAAAAATACCCAATTTTTTTAAAATATTGAATTATATCCTTCACGTTGGTATTATGTTCAGAAAATACCCACGAATATTTAAAAATAATATTAACGTCTTTAATAGTTATAAAAAGTTCTTACTGTCCATATATATCTATACCTCCTCATCTCTTCCCTCAATAAGTTACCATTAATGTTAATTTAGAAAACTTATGGGTATGTTTTAAACGTGATGCTAAGATTTTTTTGTGCATTTCGAAATTCTTAAAAGGGTTTAAGGGTACTAAAGAAATTTTTAAAAATTAGACAGTATTTTTTATACGGGTTTGGAAGTTAAAAAGGTATTTTTTTGAAATAAAATATCAACCGTTCCTATGGATTAGTAACAATCCCGGTATTTTCGAAACTTTGAACTGTTTTTATGGAGCACTACCAATCTGGGTATTTTCGAAATTTCTTGAAAGTTTAAGGGTATGTTTGAACTTTTTTTTCGGGTAAGTTTAAGGTATTATTTAGACTTTTGAAAATTTAAAGATATCTCTCAAACAAAATACAAAGTTTAATAGTATTTTTATTAATTTATATATAAATTAATACCGGAACTCAGTTGACTGAAGCATAATAATCAAATCGAAACTCGAAACTCAAACCATAAGGGATTGAACCCGAAAAACAAGGAAAAAACGGGATTAAAACAAGAAGAATGTGGTTAAAAAGTGAGGTAAAAAGACTAACTTACTTGAATTTCAGGAAGAATGCCATTGCCAAAAATGGCAGCAAAGATAGAAATGGAAGTGAAGGCAGTAAAAAGCCTAGCAGAGAGTGTTGATTCCAAAGAATAACCCTTGGATGGAACATTATCCGATGTACCTGCATGCATGCATGGATATTTCATAACAACAAAACATAATTAGCTTGAATTAAACATGATTAATTAGCGTAATTAAGAAGTAATTAAATGAATTACCTGCAAGAATGGAAGCAAAAGCGATTAAGAAGGCATAGGCGAGGCTGAGAAGAAGGGAAACAAAGTTGATATATCTGAGGGAGTGGAAGGAAGGAAGCTGAGATATGAGTATCATTCCCACTGTCACCATTGCTATGAAATGGTACAATTTCAGTTCCCCTTCTGGATGAATGTTTGAATACATCAACTTCTCTCGTCCCCAACAATCATCAAAACACCACACAAACAAATAACAACGTCGTCAGTCAATTGAATCAAGGTTTACGCTCGAATATAGAGATGTTTAAAAAATTCGAGAACCCTAAAAACTCAATTAACCCAGTTCAATCCGTACAACTTCGTTTGTATTATACACTTATTTGGATCGAGTTTGATTCAAATAAATGAAAATTGTATAAATTGGGTTGAACTGAACCAACCTAAAATTAACTCATTTATGGTTAACTGGTAAATATAAACAATTATTATACATATATTTATTTACTTTTTATTTAATTTAGAAAATTAAAAGTATTTTAAAAATAAAATATTTTTGTATAAATAAAATATAAAATTTACAAATATTTATATTACCTCTAAGCATTCTCCACCAAGCAAAATTGCGGCGACTCCCACTCCCGTGTTGACAGCTGCTTGTATGAACACGACAAAGTACAGCATCCATCCTGACCCTATTAATTACCAAAATATTTTTATTTAATTCCATTTTTCTCAATATTTATATTTTATTTTAATTTATTTTAGAGAAAATAGAATGATTAATTGTTGAGACTAAAAAAAGAGAACATAATTTTGACAAACGAGCCTTAATGAGGCTTGGATCATCATGGTGTTGCTATAATGCTTAATGATGGAATCGAATTTCGCTTCACTTGATTTCGTTCTATCTTTTTTTTCAATGAAATATTAATTTTGTTGAAAATGTAATTAAAAATTCACTTTCACTAGAAGAAAACTCCGAGGGGTATATGTAATTTATAATGTTTCACTAATACCAAACCTTTCGAAGTGAAACTAAAAATAAATTCATGGGAGCTAAGTGAGCTGAAATTGTACCATAAATTTCAGCTGGTTGTATTGACACGAGGAGTTAGATTGTTTTTTTTTTTTTTTGGCACATTAAAAAACGGTTACCCAAGACGTCGGCGGCGAGTTCCCGGAAGCGGATGTGGCGGCGGCCCTGTTTCTCGCAGAGCTCCAGCACCTTGGACAAGAGGTAGTACGAGTAGAAAGTCACCGCCGCCATGATCGTCAAGCACACAAATCCAACTCCCCAACCCAATCCTCGGAAGGCGAACGGCAGAGTGAGAATCGGCGGCCCGACGATCGCCGTCGTCAAGTGGAATCCGGCATGCCACCACTGCCCTGTTTGTACAGAAAAAAGCGATCAATTACCGACGCGTTCGAATTTGTTGAAAGGGGAAAATTGTGATTCCAAACCTTTGGATTCGAGGACGAAGGCAGCTCCGGCGTCGGGAGAAAGCTCTGAGATGGATTCCGCCGGAGGAAGCTCTGCCATGGATTAGGGAAAGAAAGAAACAGAATTGGAAGGAAGATGGTGGTGGGTGTTGTTCTTGGCGTGTGGTTTCTGAATAGAAACGGCGGCGGAAAATGGAATTGGTTGGGTTTGTGTTAATGGGTTGGAAATTGGAGCTCTGTAGTGAATGCCTTTTGAGAAGACGTTGATCGAATCAGGGCTTTAATGGAACGTGTAGGATCGGAATATGGTTTTATTTTTAATTTTAACCAATATATTTTTTAAATAATATTCCTAGCCATCCCCTTTAAACTCTAGGGTATATATATATATAGATATGTATATATATTATTTATTTATTTATTAAAAATATTATACTTGGGTAACTCAAACTATTCAACCGAACCCATCAAAATTGAGTTGGATTAGATTTTTTTTTTCTTTGGGTTAGATTGAATTTTTCGAAAATAAAAAATTTGATTCGATTTCTGATGTATTGTAACCTATAAATATTTTAGATTTGAATTTCATAAAATTTTAGTCATTAATGTAACCGTGTAACATGTATTATAAATAAGTATAATTTTTTTAAACAATTAAAGAAAAAGAACAATCTGACAATTTGACATCTCAATTCAATCCAATCCAACTCCAACACAATTGGGTTAGGGTTGGATTGTGAATGTTCGGGTTAACCAATCCAGCCAACCTAAAATTCCAATCCAACCCCAACCCAATTTCAGTGGGTTGGGGTTGGATTGTGAATGCTCGGGTTACCAACCCAGCTAACCTGAAATTTCAATCCACTCCTAAGCCAATTGGGTTGAGTTGGATTAGATTGTGAACTCTATTAGAGTTGCTCGAGTTACCAATCCAATCAACCTGAAATTTCAAATTGGTCTAAAACACTTTCCAGCTCAATCCATATATATTCCTAGTTTCACCATTTGTGCTCTAATATTAATTCACGTGTTATATTTTTTTAAAAATTCTTTTGAGTAGTGCCATTCCAAAATTTATAAATATAAAGGGATATTTTGTAGAAAAAATATAATGAGAAAAATTAATAATAATTAAAAAAAAAAAAAAACCCTTATCTAGGAATTGGTCAAGGAATTTTTACTAATGTACTAAATGTCAAATAAAACCAATAAATTTGACAAATATTCTTCATATTTATATATAAAAATAAAAAGAAAAAGCCAAACAAGTGAAAAAGAAAAAGTTAAATTACATACTTTATTAAATTCCATAATTACCTTGCGCGAAGGATATATGGTAGATTATGGGTTAGATATCATTTACTTTTACCAGTGGCCATTTAAAGCAATTTAAATAAAGACATTATTTAAAATATATATTCAAAGGGTGCAATATATATATATAAAGACATTATTTAAAATTTAAATATCCTTGTTGTCTCCATGATATTTATTCTTTACCTTCACAAACAACTCAAATAAAAAAAAAATGAAAGTCCCTGTTCAAATCTGCAAAAAGATTACATGATTATTCACTCTTCTTTTCTCCCCCAGTGTTTATGGAAGGGCCACTGAACAAGTTAAATCAGTCCCGGACCCGTTAAGCTCGAACGAGGCCTCAGGACTATAGTTACAAAGATTTGACAACCTTTGAATGCTCAAACTAGGACAGGAAATATGCTCTATTTGATGCATAAGAATATACGAAACTAAGCTAACTCATAGAAATGGCTGTGTGTTTAATAGAGATAGAGATAGAGATGAACCTCCTAAAGCATTGTTCCAGAGATCAAGAGTGTGCCTTCTTGTAGCAAAATCTTGTGCTCGTGCTCATGCTCATGCTCGTCGTTGCTGATGTTTCCTATTCGTTTAGCAGCATCTCCATGATCACGTCGTTCCATGCGTCAATCGGTCCGGGTAGGCACCAATGCAAGCAATCTGTCTGCACTTTTGCATTTTTGTCATGTGCAAATGGTTGGAACTCTCTGTATGAACCCGGATGCCCATCCGGCCTCAACAATGAAAGCTCGGTCAGGTCAAGGAGTTTAAGATTCAACCCAACTCGAGATGCTTTTGCTTCTGCCTTCTTGATCTCCTCCAACTCGATGTTGCGCAGAATTTTGGTTAGATCTTTCAGTTCAATCTCACCTTCTTTAAACGGCACCCTTCGATCGCACGTTCCTCCGGTCGACCACTCCCCATTTTCAAAGTGGTCAGGGGTTGATGCTCTCATGAATATCATACCCTTATGCTTGGATGTTAGAATAAAGTTCAATGCAGACCTGAGAACTCTACGATAGGCAAATTCAATACCTAGCTCTGTATAGTTCTTTCTTGGGCAAGAATGGCAGCCTAATACTTTGTTCTTCTCATAGTATATTGCAGGTTTCACAAACCACTTACCACTAGAAATTATCATGTAGTCTAGCCGGTGGAACTCGTCTGTCCATTTCTTATCGAGTACGTCGAGATGCAGCTCGACTTCCGATGTAGACACACCGTTATAATCTTCAAATATAGCAGCTTCTGCTAGGAAAGGTGACCAAACAACTGAAATGGTGAAGTTGTATGATGGAAACCACCATTTTTTAGACTTGTATTCTTCATCATGGTAGATATAAATAGCTACTTCCACCTGAGAACAATGTAAAAGTAAGGCTACTCCTTGATCATGGTATCTAAAAGGCTAAAGAGAAGAATGTAGCCATGGAACTCAATGCACCAGTAAGTCCAGATTCATGGACGATCATACAACGTATTATTACATACCGTTGATAGCATGCACAGCATTGATTGAACATGGTTTCGAGATATCGAATCTCCGATCAACGCCCATGTTTTGTCCCTCATCGTCTCCAGAAATCTTTGTGGATCGAACTTTGGTAGTTGACAATCCCGTGGCTGCCATCTCCAGTATAGGTATTCTGTATCTGGCCGCCCATTCTTCATACAATTTTGATGGGCTTCAATATGGGGGCAGCTCTCATTGTTGTACACAGGACCTGATGGATTTGGGATCCACTCTCCAACAAAAAGATTACACTTCCCTGCACCAAGTTCAATTCAACCAAAATTGTAAAACTTCAGTACCTAAAGAGAAGAGGAGACAAAGAAAAGAAAATGAACAGTACACTTCAAAACAGATTGTGGACAAGAAGTACGTGAGATCTCGATTGGAGAGAGGAACGAGTGTCAACGAGGATGCTGGCCCCAAAGGGGGTGGATTGTGAGATCCCACATCGGTTGGAGAGGGAAACGAAACACTCTTTATAAAGGGGTGGAAGAACTCTCCCTAGCAAATGCGTTTTAAAAAACCTTGAGGGGAAGCCCGAAAGAGAAGCCTAAAGAGGACAATATCTACTAGCGGTAGGTTTGGGCTGTTACAGTTAGTATCATAGCCAGACGGGCGGTGTACCAGCGTCATGACACAGAGCTCCGAAGGGGGTGGACACCGAGTAATGTGCCAGCGAAAACGTTGGGCCCCCGAAAAGGTGGATTGTGAGATCCCACATCGATTGGAGAGAAGAACGAGTGCCAGCAATAACGTTGAGCCATGAAGGGAGTGGATTGTGAGAACCCACATCGGTTGGAGAGGGGAACAAAACACTAATTACAAGAGGGAGGAAACCTCTCCCTAGTAGACGAATTTTAAAAGTCTTGAGGGGAAGCTCAAAAAGGAAAACCCGAAAAAAACAATATCTGCTAGCGGCAACAGAGAAGCTATTCATCACTCAACAACAGAGTAACTCAACATTCAACACCAAACTTAAAGAAAATCATGGCAGTAGAATATCAGCATTGCACAGAGACAGAAAAATCCCCATATTTTGATTGAAACTACAGCACAAGAACAGCAAATAGTTAAGAATCTACGAACCTAATCCAAACACAATAACATAAAAGAGAGCATCAGTTGATCACCTTCGAGTGGTTTCTGAATCTTATTCACCCAAGCTTCAAAATGAGTATCCAAAATCGAAGAAATGATATTCTTCTCAGTGAATGAGGTATCCAAATTCGCTGGAATGTCACCGAAACCAGCGAAGAGGAAACGAAAAGCAATACCCATTAAGAGAATAGGAAGAAGGAGCTTTAGCATCAGTAACTGGTTGTGTTTGAAAGGAAACAGTAGCTTCCAATTGAACTTCATCTCTGAAACAACAATACCCAGTTCAAAATCGTATCTAATGGACCTAAAACCCAAAGCTCAATACTCTAAATCACAGCGATTCCATTAGAACACATAACAAAAGGGGAACCAAAATTCCTCCCGCAGCAACATGGATCGTTCCCTAACAATCGAGTCCAGAAGAAAGTGAAGGCGAAACAGATGCTCAAATTGAGGCATTAATGATCAAGGGAGGCGATACAGAGTAAAACGAAATGCCAGCCAGTTGCAGAAACAAAGTGAATGGAAAAATTAATGTATTAATTCGCTAATAGTTTTCCATTTTGAGTAATGAAATCATAGCATCATCGATACGGTGCATGAACACGACGAATATATGGAGATTTGAGGTAAGACTACGAATTACAGCTAATGAATCTATGATTCCGAAGAGATAGAATTTAATACCACCACGGCCCCTTTCAGACGGCGTATCCTCTAGATTGGACCCTATTGTGACATGGCGAAACGGTCGAAATCGCTGCCGGGGAACGGTGAGGACTTCTTCCGAGAGTCGGTGGCTTGGCTTTCACGTCAAAAATTCATGGAATTTTTTTTTTTTTTCTTTCTCCTCTCAAAATAATTTGACTGTTTCTTTTGTTCATATTCATCACTTAATCTCAATTTTCACTCTCAAACTTTAATTTATTAAATTTGACCACATATTTTAGAATTATTACAATTTCTACCATTAATTCGATTTTTTTAATTTATGCATTATTTTTTAATAAAAAAAATATAAAAATTTTAAAATCCTAAAAATTCTAAAGATTTTAAATTGATATAATTATTTACTTCGGTTTTAATTTATTCTAACATAATTTTTATGAAATAAATTTTATTAGTAAATATGAATTTTTATTTTTTTAAATTGTTCTAAATCAATTTTTAGACTTTAATTGATAATTATAAGGAGAAAAAAAATATATTAAGCAGTATAAATGTGGAAAGTAATAACATATCTCCATATAACCTAATTAACATTACTATATTTAAAATGATTGCAATTAAACTTAAATTTGATAATTAAAATAAAATATTGTTAATTATGGCTGGAACCAGGAGAATTAAGTGCATAAGTGGTAACGTTTTTCAGATTTGAATCTCATATTTGGCCATCTACATGATCGCATTACCTATTTATGTTAAATTATTTTTAAAAATTAAATCATTTTAACCTATTTTATTTTTACTTACATGTTTCTGACCATTTTAAGAAGTCAAGCATACAATATTCCAAAAAAACAATTGAGTTTAGTCAATTGATGACTCCAAATTACATAATCAAAGCATGTACCTAAAATTAGAAAGGCCAGCTCAGCAACTGTCGTACGTGGATTTGGAAATGCCAACTCAGCGAATGGAGCGTGTGAACACGTGTAGAGTTAAGATATTGATATTTATAAAATATGAATATTTATTAATTTTAATCATTTTTAGATATATTCTTATCATTACTTTTCTTTTAATATTTAAATTATTTTACTATTTTTTAATTAACCTTTCTTGAAAAAAAACATAAATGAGGAGAAATGATTGGGAATGTTTAGCTCGAACAACCCGACCTAAACCATAAAAGTTGGGTTGGATTATTTTTTTTTTTCCTAATTTGTGGTCGGTTGAATTTTTTAAACATTTAAAAATTGGTCGAAGGGTTGACACTTTTACAATCGAGTCAACCCAACCAACCCAAAATAGGGTTTACAACCCAACAATCATACTAATGGTACTGTAAAGATTAAGAATAATTGACATTTGTAGTACATATTAGTAATGCAATATAACTTATAAATATTAGTTTTATGAAATTTCAATTATTAATGTAATAGATAGGTAGATAAGTATGATTTTTAAATAATTAAAAAAATAACTTCGTAACACGACCAAACCAGAAAATAGAGGGTTGAACTCAGTTGTGTTGTGATTTCTATTTGACTTACTCGAGTCATCAACCCAAATTTCAAGTTGGTCCAAAAGATTTCAACAAACACAAATAATTTTCGGTTGAACGAAAATTAGAGTCAAATTATCATGGATATTGTCTTTTATTTATCAATCGTAGAAGACCTATTAAATAAAATAAAATATAATCAAGAGGGACCATACTTAGCCTCATCCAACCATTAGATGATTTACACGTGTCCACTTCACTTTTCCTCTCAAATCTGCGCCGGTTCGATGAGTTGGCCGAGTCTCCACGTCGGCACCCTGTCTCACCGACGTGGCTTCACCACCACCTATAGTTAAAATCTTCTGAACCTAAGAGCTGGATTATTATTAATATATTATTATTATTAGTAGTAGTAGTACGTGCTTTAATATTATTTTTTAAGCTATAGTTCTTTCAATATACTTCAGTGCTACAATGAAAATTCATTCATAACAGTAAGAAAAGATTATCATAAAAAAAAAAAAAAATTGTATAATATTATGACTTTTAATTTTAATTAATCCAAATTTCAAACCCAGACATAACTCTGAGAGGCACGTGAGGAGAGCATGATCCCTTCGAAATGTTTTTTTTATATTTTTAAATTGGGGTTAAAAAATAAAATTAAGCCACAAATTTACGACCAAAAAATTATTTATTTTAATTTTGTTGCGGATGAGAAAGAAAAGATATTTTGCTTTTCTGCTTTGTATCGGCCGTTGTGTCACACGTATCTCTCTCTATAATTTTTTTTTTTTTTGCTGCTTTCTTCTTCCCAGTGCTATCTAGGGTTTTTGTTCTGCTTAATTTCTTGTTTATTTTTTGTTCTTTGGTTGTTTTGGCGTGGTTCTTAGTTTGTCGGATAATTGCTGAAGTAGATTGTTAATTGAGCGTTTTTTCCCCTTCAAATTTCTGGTGGGGAAATCATTACTGTTTGGCGGCTGGGAAAGTGAAGATGGTTTGTGGATGGAGGTGGCAGTGTTTCTATTGCAGTTTTTCTGTTTTAATTTTGACAGATGCCGGGAATTCGTGCTCGGAGCAGGTTAGAGGTGAGTTCTTATCGGTAACTATTAAGGCTATATGCACGAGTTTTGGAATGTTCACTTTTTTTTTTTTCCCAATTAAATTCTATTCTGATTCCCAGATGGATCATTGTTGGTTTTTTTCTGAAAAAATTATTTAGGGGAATTGATTTTTATTGTACTGAATTTGGGTGTTTATTGATTCTTTTGTGTTTTGGTGTTCCTGTTCGTAATGATTGAAGGTAGGGAATGGATAGTGTAATCCACATTCTTTTTGATGCTTTTGTGGGTGGGCTGTTCCCTGTTGTGGGTGTCAACGGGACGTTATTTTAGTTCAGTGTAAATGAATCATTGCATTTCTTTAACCTCGAGTTTCCTGCTTCTGCTGCTCAACCATTTTGAATGACCTATGTTTCCGGATTGTGCTGTACCTTTAAATATGTTAGTTGTATTTGTAGTTTCTATCTACGGTTCTTTCCTTAAAGAGGACTTGAAAAAAAATTGGTTCTCTGATTTTAATATTCTATTTGTGGTAGCAGGGCAGTCAAGTACGTGAAAGAATGTGAAGTTAGTCTGGAGAGAATGGAAGAAGTGAGTGAGGAAATGACGCTATTGGATGCGGCGGAGGATGCACATGTCCAAAATAAGGTTAGGCAAGATGCTCAGGAGAATGAGTTTTCACTGAAACCTGAAAATACCAATGTGGTTGAATCACAAGAAATGCTTATTCCCATTGACGGTGGCTATTCACAGGATTATCCTCATGAATTTACTGAAATTTTAGAGGGTAAGAATCTGAGTAGGTGTAAAAACACTGTGAAGTTATCTGATCAACCAGAGTGCAGTCCTCAGTGTATGGATGATGCTGGCGTAATGGTTGAAGAGCTAACTGTGAAAAATCAGAACGATTCCAATTTAGCAATTATTGGTCCATCGAACAATAGAGCACGACTGCTTTCTAGGCATAATCAGTGGCAGCATCTTTACCAGCTGGCAAGTGGTTCAGGCAGTGGGAGTTCACGTATGGATACTTCTTACAAGAACAATGGTCAGACAGTAACCCCTGGCATAGAGACCGGTGGGTACACATCTTTTCCTGAGGCTTTCGCTGGAAGAGCCAATCGTAATGATTGTGGAGAGAAATTGGAAGAAACGAAGGCTATTGACAATAAGGGTGGTGATGCTCATGGCAGCATTCGGACCAAGATTCTATCAAAATCGGGCTTTCCTGAATTTTTTGTTAAAAATACCTTGAAGGGGAAGGGAATCATTCGTAGAGGTATACCACTGGAGGGCTTTAATGTAGAACATAGAAACCCTAAGAATGCAAGGAATGCTGGTGGCATTACATTGGCATCTGACTCATCATTACAGCATGACGTTAAGCCTGTCATACCCTCCTTGAATAGGAAATCTGAGCGTAAATTTCGGGGTTCTGCTTTAGATGGCATTAGTCTGAGAGATTGGCTTAAAGTTCCCCACCACAAAGTAAATAAAAGCGAATGCTTGTATATATTTAAGCACGTAGTGGAGCTGGTGGATCGTTATCATGCACGGGGGGTTTTGTTGCATGACTTACGTCCATGTTCTTTCAGGATATTGACGACGAACGAGATAAGGTACTTTGGAACTTTTATTCAATTAAAAACAGCGGAAAGTCTAATGGTTAAAGATAGTCAGTGTTCAGATAGCCATCAGACTCAGAAAAGGCCGTTAGAGCAAGGGAACTTTCTGTCATTTGGTGTATCTCCAAAAAAACAAAAAGATGTCCAGAATATGAGTCTTATGGCCCAACATCCTCACTTTCCTTCAGAATCTGGTGTCAATCTTGAAACTGCAAATACGAGGGTCTGCAATAAGAATGCTTCGGAAAATTATAATGAACATTTTGCTGAACAGGGGGTTAGGAGCAAGCCTGCTGGCCCTTGTGCATACGATTCTTCCCTGACTCCAATAAGTGGCCTATTGGAAGAGAAGTGGTATGCAAGTCCAGAGGAACTTAATGCAGGATGCTGCTCACCTAAATCAAATATATTCTCTCTTGGTGTTCTTCTTTTTGAGGTGAGAAGATAGTTGTGGTTAATTGATATGAAGAAGTTGACTGTGTTTTCATTGTTTCATAGAATGTTGAATATGCTTCTATCAATAAATTTGGGTTAAAGTAGTTTTTATCCAATATCCATGAACTAGAAAGTTAAGAGGTTTTAATTATTCTTGATAAGGGTTCAGTGAAACTGTTGATAAGTACAAAGTTTCTCAAAAAATTGAACAACCTACGATGTGCAGCTATGCATAGAATTCTAATTTTTATTTACGCTATTTGATTAATAGCTTCTGTCAAGTTTAGCCTTATGTGTCTTTTTTTCCTCCTCTCTTGTTGTTTGGTTTTTTTTTTTTTTTTTTTTTTTTTGTGGTGGTACTGGTGGTGGTGTG